CTCGCGGTAGTCCTGTGTGCTTAGTGTGAAGTTTTTAACGTTCTCGATAGCGTAAAAGTTAGCTCATATTTGTATGGAATGGGATCGTTTGCCTATGTTTGCCGCTAGAGGTGCTGTTCCAACTGCATACAAAATTGGGCACCTTGAGATATAAGTTCTAAGGTCTCAGTATAGTTACAACGGCTGCCCCACCCTTCAAACCGAAACGCATTACTGCTTCACGGCTGAAATAGGCAGGGAGGTGGTACCTACCCGTGCGGACTCACAAGAGTTCCTACCACCAGTAATTAAAAAAAGTTTTCAACGTTCTCGATAGCGTAATAGTTAACTTATATTTGTATGATGTTAAAACAGCGCCCCTAGCGGCAAACCTAGGTAAATGTTCCAAATCCATACAAATTTGAGTTAACTTTTACGCTATCGTGAACGTTAAAAAACTCGCACTAAGCACACTGAACGCAGTCACAATAATATTACTTTTGTTACATACATTTTTGTTCAGGTTTCGATCGATAATACTTCAAGCATCCTCAACAGGAACTCTATTGAGCGTCTATTTTCCTATTATCTGGTGCTCGTAAGGTCTTCGTCGCGGCCGCTTAAAGATGCCTTCAGAAGATTAAAGCTGCAAACATTATGAAGCTTTCGGATCTAGCTAAGCTATATTGATGTTAGCTGGTTTCAATAGAGGTTCGACAGATGAAAGCATATTGTAGTCTTCAGAATTTAAGTGAGGCAGCAGCCCAGTGCAGCGAATTTCTTTGTTGACTAAAGTATAATGGATCTCTTATACCTTTTTTCCCTCCTATACCCTATTGATGGGGCTGGTATGGAATTTCATTCGTGAGTACACGTTTTATTTAGATTATTCAGTCGATTTTACCTTTGCCCCAGTCTTATTGTGAAAAAAGCCCGGATGAGTTGTCATGCTTATAGAGATGTTTTGTTTTTAAGCATGTGATTATAAACTTGTTCATGAAGTCGACATTAAATCGATATTCTTGTGTAGCGCAATTCACGTTGCGATGTCTATAGAGTGCGAGAAATCCTTGACATAAAATGGACTATGAGTTCGTTTACATATCGAAAAAATTGTATTTACGGATCCGTTAACAGTCTAAAATTCGTGTAGGTGCTTAATTTCCAGTATGTATAAGTTAAATTTATTTATTTATTTATAACTTCTTATACTAGAAAGTATAAAGGCAGACTTAATGCCATAGGCATTCTCTATCAGTCTACCTTAGGGGAGTGCAGAGATGAAGCTTGGTAGGTGTAGTGTGAAGGTGATAAATAAATTTAAATTGTGATTTATAAATTAATAAGTTATTATTGATTATTGATTGATTGATATTAGTGATTTATAAATTAATAATAACTTAGTAATTTATAAATCACAATGCTTATAAATTAATAAGTTCTTATCTTCATCGTAACTACTTCTACTTTTATCAATCAATTATTAATACTGTTAAATTTGTTTTGAGCTCCAGAGATGTAGTACCTACAAGAAACACTCATAAAAAATTCATAACAACGCTTCGTCAAGTTACTTAGCCGTTAAGATCTCATAATGCGTATTTAAGGCATTATAAAATCAAAAAATTATGCACGAGATAATAACTAAGTTTGCTTACTTTCAGCACTTGAAGTGAACTTTATTGTAGAGTTATTCCAAACGAATATCTTAATATCTAATTTTAAACTTTCAGATTGTGAAAACCATATTTTTATGTTGATTATTTCGAGTTTTTAATTGAATTCAGAATTTCTAATAAACAGATTAAGAACGTCGGACAAATGATTAATAAAACTCTTCAGGCGCATCTCTTTATGTGACAACCCTAGATTCGAGTGCCTAAAATTAAATATTCGATTGCTCTGCGAGTTGAATATGAAATTATTCTGTGCATTTAAAGAGGCCGTAAATCGTAGCCATTGTGACCTGTTATGAAAAGAAAGAATATTAAATTAGCTTAGACGTCTCAAGCGAATTATCGTTCTATTAGTATAAATTTAAGGTTTCAAGTCATATGAGCTACCGAAATTGCTTAAAAATAAGTGGATATAGCAGTTTTTCATCATTTTATTTGAACGTAAACATTCGTCTAGAATACAATCTATACATATAAATAAAATTGGAGTGTCTGTTTGTAATATTGAAATAAACGCTTTTTACTACATGCATATGAATATATATACGGTACATACACCAAAATATTTTTTTTTACAATTTTTGTCTGTCTGTCTGTTTGTTCCGGCTAATATCTGGAACGGCTGGACCGATTTTGACGAGACTTTCACTGATAGGTAGCTGATGATATAAGGAGTAACTTAGGCTACTTTTTTAGACTAGCTTCGCCCCGCGGGTTCACCTGCGGTACAACAATAATCGCGGGACTCAGCTATCAATAATAAAATTTAACGTTTCCGAAGCGAAGGTTTGAAGGTTCCGAAGGTTTGCGCGTTCACTGCGAAGAAGGACCCTTTTGTCATGGCGCCGGAATTTCAAGGAGTATCCCCGCAGCTTTCCGCGAGTATCGGGATTCTGGGGGTCGATATTTCGAGCGATGTCCAGTTTCGAAGTCATTTGGAAGGTAAAGCCAAATTAGCCTCTCAAATGTTGGGAGTCCTCAACAAAGCGAAGCGGTATTTCACGCCTGGACAGAGACTTGCGCTTTATAAAGCGCAGGTCCGACCTCGCGTGGAGTACTGCTCTCACCTCTGGGCCGGGGCTCCCAAATACCAGCTACTTCCGTTTGACTCCATACAGAAACGGGCTGTTCGGATGGTCGATAGTCCTGCTCTCGCGGATCGCTTGGAATCTCTGGCTCTGCGGAGGGACTTCAGTTCTCTCTGTGTTTTATACCGTATGGTCCACGGGGAATGCTCTGAGGAATTATTCGAGAGGATCCCCTCATCTCCTTTTTATCATCGCACCTCCCGCCATCAGAGCAGAGTTCATCCATATTATCTGGAACCGCTGCGTTCATCGACAGTGCGTTTCCAAAGATCTTTTTTGCCACGTACCATCCGGCTTTAGAATGAACTCCCCTCCACGGTGTTTTCCGAGCGCTATGACATGTCCTTCTTCAAACGAAGCTTGAAGGCAGCGGCTTGGCTCTGCCCTTGGTATTGCTGACGTCAATGAGCGACGGTGACCACTTACCATCAGGTGGGCCGTATGCTCGTCTGCCTACAATGGCAATAAAAAGATAAAAAAAAAGCGAAGCGAGGGCGGGTCGCTAGTTAAACGTAAAATTTGAACAATTCGATTGTTTTCAAATACTCCGACATTATCTGCGACAGCGTCACTTTCGCCTCTCACAGAAACGGACCCAAGTAAACCTCCGTGCGACGAGTTCATAATTTATTAATTTGTATAAGGTGTGATTCCCTTAAGTCCAGACGATCTCGGCTACCTGAACAAGAATTAATTCCGCACCGGCCTTTGTTCGTTTTGATGGAAAATCTCAATGTCACAACAAACAAGCTTTACAAATATCGCACGTTTACAAATTAGAGTTTAACTACGCTTTATTTTAATAGGCCCAAAGTAAAATATACATTTTGATTTGCTGTTTTCGCGCTGTGTCGTGTAGGATTAGTAAGAAAATCTGAGAGGCGACAACACAAATGTGGCTTACGTCCTCGAATATGGATTACAATGGCGCCTATTACAAACTACAATATTGCTTTTTAGCAGCTACGTGCAGCATGTCGATACCCGCTCGTAAAGGTTTGGTACGAACTATAATCTTGATACTTAATATCAATTAGGCTATGTAGGACTAAATAAATGTAAAAATAATACTCCACAAGTAGGAATAAAAAAAAAACCTAAACGCAAATGGGGCGTATAATAAGCTAATGATAGCACCGGAGCTAAGTATGGATATTCCCCTATAGAAGTTTTCATTATCTTGATACTTAATATCAATTAGGCTATGTAAAACTAAATATATGTAAAAATAATACTCCACAAGTAGGAATAAAAAAAAAACGTAAACGCAAATGGGGCGTATAATAAGCTAATGATAGCACCGGAGCTAAGTATGGATATTCCCCTATAGAAGTTTTCAACGAGAAAAGTTCCGTACAAAGGCTTGTGGTGCCGCTAAACTTGGTAGTCGGTTAGCTCAAGAATTGCGATTGCTCGTTCCCAACAATTCATTATGAAATACGTCTTCGGACAAGTATTTGACATTCGATGGAGTATCCTGAATGTGTACTAGAATGTACATTAATTAGATTGATTTATACCCAAAGAAAAAATATAAAAAACTCATAGATATATGTACAATTTATTGCAAAAATTGCAAAATTAAAATTGAATATTTCAAAATGACGACCAGCCGCTGTCCTTTTTCGTCACTTATTTGAATTTCAAATTCAATAAAATTCTGAACGTTGAAACACGATCGCTGAATGTCAAAGTTTTAACCGCTGAAACTTTTTCAGAGGATTTAACACAATTACGTTTTACCAAGCAATAAAATTTTAATATAACCGGATAATGGCATCCTAGAGATTTTTTAGATGTATAAAGTCAACACAGATTGATCATTTAAGTATACATAATGGGAAGGTCATAACGTTACGTATACTTATAAATAGCCATAATTATGGTTTAACGATATTTTTTTTAATTAAATTATTGCTTATGTGGCTGGACGAGCTCACAGCCCACCTGGTGTTAAGTGGTTACTGGAGCCCATAGACAGCTTCGACGTTAATGCGCACCCACCTTGAGATAGTTTGTAGGTCTCAAGTATAGTTACAACGGCTGCCTCACCCTTCAAACCGAAACGCATTACTGCTTCATGGCAGAAATAGGCAGTTTGATTGTTCCACTGTGAATACATAATTAAATGCTATTCAACAATTGTTCATTTAAATGCTAATTGTTCGTCTGCTTTTGCAATACTTCTTATATTACTTCCTTTATATTTTATGGAAAATTGTGTAACTATAGTTTTCTGTCACAGGTCATTGACAAAATGCCAATCATCCAGTCGTGTTGCTGCTGGCGAAGCCTCCGCCGAGGTTGCTATGCTGCCGCTATATATACTATGGTAAATACATCTTATATTATGCTTAGCACGTTGACTGCCATATAGGTCACCGGTGCCCTACGCGGCGCATTAAAGTAATTATGTAGATTTCTCTCTTCGAACTTCTAATGCGCCGGAATATCTAGTAGACTCTGGGAAAGACGAATCCGAAGATACTGAGAATGAATCTATTTCTAATCTAAGAGACTTCATAACTAAAATATAAACCAAAAGAAGGCAAAGTTAGGCAATCCAGGCGCTTAGTCACAGAAATCGACGTAATAACTTCAGTGCGCCGCGTAGAGCACCGGTGACCTACGCGGCAGGGTTAATAAAATTTATTTACTATCTTATATTAAATAGGCTATTCAAATGAGGCATTAGTAAAAAGCTTTCATAGTTTTGTAATGATTCAAGGACATAGCCCTGAGTCTATTTTTTTCACTCTTTTCTATTAGATATTTGGCAGTCAGTATTTGCTCTTGTGTTAATTTATCATAAATAGATATTTTTAGATAGATTGTGAAATAGGTATTCGTTTATCGATATTGACAGAATTTAAGGCGTAACGGGCTACCCTGGTAGTAAAGACTAAAGTGTTTAGTGCGCTTGAATATTCAAGATGTACCGACCCTTGTGTTTGTCGAAGCATTGGCTCGCCTAAACCATGGCGTCACACCTTTGTGCCGTGCAGGCACTACAAACTAAATGTATACATATATGCTTTTATAGTATTATGCTTCTCGAAATAGAACGGCTTGTAATAAATTACGTGGCGCTTGGGTAATATGTTTTTTTTGTGGGAAATTTATATCCCCACTTTTGTTTTCTTATTAAATTTAAGTAGGATACAATAGCGTACATATACATACCAAATAATTACATTAGCATAATAGATAGGTTTTGATTAATATAGCGATATTTTATGTTATTAACCAACAATAACATTGATAACTTATTTTGAGCATACATCCGAAGAATATTTTGCGGTGATCTTACCATATCCTTACCACCATAATTTGTTACCAGAACAGAGTTCTTCCCTACTATATAGAAACACCGCGTCATCCGCAATGGCTTTTCAAAAATCTATTAACTTCTCTCCACCGATTTCCCGATGTGCTATGACAAATGACATTGAGAAGCATATGGAGAAGATTTTCAAGACAAGATTCCTCGGCTATAGCCTATAGATTAGCTATTCCTCTACCAATTGCTTTTATAAAATATGGTTATCTCTTACCATCAGATCAACCCTTTGAACACCTTTGAAAACCTTTGTAGGGTACAACTTTGAAAACCGTTAAATATTATTATAGGTAATGAAAATTTCTTGATTTATTTAATATGATGGGCAATTTCCGATACAATATTTAATGTACATATAAACATTCAAAATAAGTCTAAAACTGTCCACATTCTCTTGATCCATTCACATTATGATTCAACAAAGATGTTCGCGATCATAGGAACCAAATTATTACTTCTAAAAACCTTTTTATACCTTCATTAATCTGATATAACGATACAGTATAAAGCGTGGTAGAGAGGCGCGTAAAGATAGCGAATAATATTTTTTCGCTTCATAATTTATTTGAAACTGAATGATAGGGCAGCCACAGAATTGACAGCACTCTTTTTACTGGAGAATTCGTCGTTTTTTTAAAAGAAGAAGACATAATTCTTAATTAAATACTATTTTATTAAAGTCACAACCAAGTAGTAGAGATACAAAGACCCCTTGAAAGTTGATGTTTCATAATTGCATTGCTATAACGTTTATCATTAAATATATTTGTCTTATTTCAGCATCATACGTTCTTTTAAGTGCCAGAATCATGGATCGCTCTTTTGGTCTTTTTAGTTTTCAAATTATGATTATTCAAAAATTTATCAGCCAGTATTATTTGTCATCAACGCAGAGATTAAACCGCGGAGCATTGAAAACTCGGCAGTCGATACTTTTTATTTTATTGGCCGTGTGGTTTAATATTATTGAGCTTCGTTTATAGTTTTCCAATTAATTTTTTGACTTAACATTTTTCTCCACCAGATATACTTCTCCATCACGATAGTCACAATGGGACATTTTATAGACATGGAACAGAGATACCTCAACGGCGACCTGATGGAACCAGAATCTGAGAGTTTCCTGGAACCGGATAAGATAACACCGAGTGAGTTTAAATTTTAAATTGCATTCTAAAACTAGCTTTATAGAGAAGCCAGTAAAAGGGACTTCTGTTGTATTTACCGTATTATTTCTCTTTTTTTTAGTGCTTTTGTAGGTACATTAGCATACGACCCACCTGATGGTGAGCTTATGGACGGAAAAGCCATTTGAAGAGGGTCATGTCATAACGCTCAGGAAAGTGAGATTGTTTTATTGATTCGATTGGGTTTGGAATTGGGATTAGATAAGGTTTAACAGTTGTTCCGAGTCTTTAATTAAAAGGCATGGTGCCTAATCGTGGGACTTACAAACCATCAGTAAAAAATGTTCCAAAGATCTAAACTACCTACTTCGTCATTAAATTTATTGTCTATTTCGAAGCTTAGATTGCGATATAAAACCGCGATGACAAATGCCGTCTCTTATAATGAAAATATTCGGTAAAGTGTGAAGCATTTAGCTGTTATGTGTTAGTAAGTGTGGGAAATTTCATACTCCTCTTCGTGCAATTTTCATAAAAAGGGGTACAAAGTTTTTGCTTCACGTATTAATACATAGATATAGGCTATAAAGCTAATATAAATCTGCACACTTAAAAATGTAACAGAGTCTTTGGCTGTCTGTGTGCGCGTTTCAGCGCGATAGCTTCCATTTTTGCACGAACCTTGTTTGGATTTGGGTATAACTAACGTATTTTTTTTTTTTTTATTAATATTATCATTTCACAGATCAGAATATAAACCAATCTCTCGATTTAGAAGATCGTGTACCTTAAACATTATTGATTTCTATAAAGAATACTACCTACGGTCGCATATTATTATACGCCAATTTACAAACGGGAACACAAATTTAAAAGAAATAATAGTTTTTTGAATAGATTCATATCATACACAAAAAATTTACGTGAAACATAAGCATACGGAAGCTAGGAGGCTTCCGGTAAAATTCGATTTCTCATTTTTCACCATAAACAATTGATGACGAAGATATTCACATTTCCTCGTTCAGGAACAGGCTTCAATAAATTAAGTAACACAATACCTCGCACGTCGGTCGTTTTAAAACACGAAAACCGTGGTCGGTTAATATTTTAAAGTACGAATAGCACAGAGCGAAGCACTTTATTTGGTATCATAGCGTATTTTTCATGTATCGAATATCGTTTGTATTAAATCAACTTAAATTGAAAGTTTATTTTCGCTTGTTTCAGTTTTTTTTTTTTCTTCTAGTATTAGTATTCATAGTATTCCACTTGCTTTGAATTGAAACATAATCAACGATTCTGGTTTCACAAAGCTTGAAAATGTGTTGTATTGACGTAGCTGAGCAATCTGTCTCAAGGCTCACTTACATTGCTGTACGTATATACGTTCAAGATCTTCACAGCGTGAAACGAAACGCATATCCCTATTCTTTATATTATCTGTGCACTCTTCACTCAATCACGAATTTGGAACTTTTTGGCGGGAACGCGAGGAATGAAGTTGTGTGATTTGGTTTATTTTGTCTATTTAGTGTTTCTTCGGGTTTAAATGTGTAATAATGGTGGTTTATTAACTGTTTAATATCTGTGAAAGTGCACAAATGTGGGAAAATGAAACAAAGCCGCTGGACGCAACTTCTCGGGATCCTCCAAAAAGTCCACTGAAAAAATCTTAGTACCGGTAAAATGGGGCGATTAGGGATTGAAAGGCGAATCGGGAAAAAACCGGGAAAATCTTTCGACGCTCAATATAAGTTTTATATTCGTTGCAAAATCTTCCATTTTTTTGTAGTTTAATAGTAGAATGTTGAAAGTTCACAAAACAACTCTGAATATGCATGGTAATAGCTGCTAACTTATAAAAAATCGCGTTTGAAATTAACTTCCTGTGGTGGTAATTATTTTAGTGCTAGAAACTTTGCTCTCTTTTATTTATTTGATAATAATAGAAGACGACTATGATTTATAAACGTTATTTAGTGTTTGAACCAGCATATATATTAAAGGTAAGTCTCAGTTGTTATTGGTTTTAATGTATTTGATTAAATAAAAATACATGTAAAAATCTGTTGTTTTTGGGGATATTGGGGACGTCTTAGGTACAAATAACAACGAAAAAGGGGTCAATTGGGATGAGAATACGTGAAATGGAAACGACCTAAGTATAAATAGGTACAGGTTTGTAGGGTTGTCTATGTAGTTATAACAATATTTTTTAAATTTGTTGGTAAAAATCTGGTTTATTCGAAGCGAAATTGGGAATAAGTCTTTAGTTGAAATAGATAAGCAATTTAATATAAGTAAGTCGATTTTGCAGAGACATGTAACAAGATCAATGAAATCTCAAGGTGGACAAAAATGTCTAAGTAATACATAATAAAATATTTAATATTTGTTCAGAGTGGGGGTATTCATCTGATTAATCCATGGAATAACCGACACACCTAATCTCTTAACCCAGATAGAAATATCAGCCCCTAAGTACTTACCAAGAACGGAGAAATATAAACCGTTTTTATGAAAGCCCACTATATATATATTGTTGTTACTGCACTGTCGATTGCACCTATAATTGAGGTGATGTCTGCCATGTACTTTTGTCAGTTTTTCAATTTTTTTTATTGATGATCACTTTGTTGGTGCAACTAAATAAATAAATAAATTAAAACTATATATAAAAATAAAAGTAGTGCCAACCCTAGCAAATTTCTCATTTCGTCCCAATTAACCGCAATTTTCGGGTAAATAGGGATTACACATATTTTTGCATTTTTTGCTTAAACTGGAATGCTAGTTGCATAATTTTAAATTAGACAACAAAGATGCCCCCAAGACTCAATCATTTTGATCCTGATATAGCATTATATACATCAACAACTACCTTAAAATTGCTCATAAAGTTGAAATTTGTCCCTAATCGCCCCATTTTACGGTACTGAGAAAAAATCTTTACTGGTGGTAGGACCTCTTGTGAGTCCGCACGGGTGGGTACCACCGCCCCGCCTATTTCTGCCGTGAAGCAGTAATGCGTTTCAGTTTGAAGGGTGGGGCAGCCGTTGTGACTATACTGAGACCTTAGAACTATATCTCAAGGTGTGTGGCGCATTTACGTTGTAGATGTCTATGGGCTCCAGTAACCACTTAACACCAGGTGGGCTGTGAGCTCGTCCACACATACAAGCAATAAAAAAAAAAAAAAAAAGTAAATGACCACCATTTTACTGAGATTATATTTCATCCCATATCATCCTATTTCATAAAAATATTATAAATATAAATTAAAATAAGACATGACTTAAAGGTCTCAGTTACCAGGTCATAAACTTCTTTAAAAAAAAGGCACGAATTTGGCGCCTTTCTTATAAAATTTCAAATATTTTATCTAATTGATATTGTCGAACTAAAATTAAATGACGTCACTCCCACAAAAGCAACTTTGTACATAATTACAAAAACCTGGACAAAATTAGCGACAGTGACTTTCTTCGCTCAAAATAATATTCAATGTTTTCAAGATGACTGCTTTAAGACAATAAGGTATTTACTCAGCATTAAACACATGTTTAATTTATTAAACACATGTAATTTTATTTTATATTCTGAAAATGCTCGCTTATTTCACCGGCTGTCTTAATTATCTTCTAAAATATAATACATTTCTGAATATTTATTTGTTGGGTGGCATATGAAGGAAAGTTTCTAGTGTTGAACCATTCACGATAGACAACGATCTTTACTGTTGGTAGAACCTCTTATGAGTCCGCACGGGCATGTACCACCACCCCGCCTATTTCTGCCGTGAAGCAGAATGCGTTTCGGTTTGAAGGGGGAGCAGCCGTTGTAACTAAGCTGAGACCTTAGAACTTATATCTCAAGGTGGGTGGCGCATTTACGTTGTAGATGTCTATGGGCTCCAGTAACCACTTAACATCAGGTGAGTAGTGAGCTCGTCCACCGATCTAAGCAATAAAAAAAAGACAATCATATTCGGACCGAAGCGACGGGGCAACACAAAGCCGCCGTCGCGTCACCCATACATGTCTTGTCGGATTCCCTGGATTCATTCTCGGCTAGCAGCGAATACGTAGGAAAAAAATTGACAATGTGCGAGTTGACTCGTGAAATCGACATAATTCATATCTTTAGCGTTATTCATAACGATTCGTAAACGGGATTTACTAGAATTAAACAAAATACAAACAATAATATAAAAGATCCTACATGTATTATGTATACTAATTAGTATGGTTAAATCTGGTACTAAAGTTTATCAAAGCGGACGCAGCTTTCTTCGAGCTTTATGTGCATATGTACTTTTGAGGGCTAAGCTTAAATCCCTTTACAATGAAATTGTTTCTCGTTTTAACGAGGGCTGTCGCCAACTTCTGCCGTGTTTTATGGTCAATTTAAGCTCTGCTATATTAGGATCGCAGTTACTTTATGGACTCAAAATTAACTTAACTATTTAATTTGATATCCACGCTGATGTTATAAAGTGTTCTGTATTAAGTATAATATTAATTCTTTGAACTTCTATCGTTCGTAATTTATTCTAAATTCGACTATGAATGTTTTGATTCAAAACAAGCTCCTATAAACATTTAGCTAGTTGTACGACGTTCAAGGTTTCCTAACCAAAGATACATTTCTCAGTGAAATATTAATTAATTTACATAATTATAAATGTTAGGGATCTTCAATTAGTAGGCGGTCTTACAAACGTCTTTGTCTTTGTACAATGTTATACGCGAGGTGAACACGTCAGAATTTAACCACTGTAAGTGTTAAAGATTACTTAGTCTGTAAATTAATTTCGATTCTCTTTGTTGTATACAGCATAAAGTATATTTTAACTTATATACATCTTATCAGACAGCTGCTGCTAAGGCTATTTCGACAATTATACATAAAAAATTAATAGCACTGTATGAGCATGCGACCTACCTATTGGAGAGTAATCAGTCAATGCGAGGACTATAGCCTAGGCGCTGCTTCAGTACATATAAGTAGTGATGGGA